TTTTTTTTTTTTTCTTTTTTTTCTTTTTCTTTTTGGTAGTACCGGGGATTGAACTGGGACCTAGTGCTTGCCAGGCAAGCGCTTATTCTACTGAGCTATCTCCCCGGCCCCTTGTCGTGTTTTTTGAGATGGTCTTGCTGTGCAGCTCAGGCTAGTGTTGACCGCTCAGGGATCCTCCAGCCTCCCATCCTCCTCCCAAGTGCTGGGATTACAGTCACGAGTCACCGCAAGGGCTGAATTTTATATACATGGGCGTGGCCGGCCTGACTCGGGTGGGACCGCCAGTGCTTGCTCAGGCTGCAGCGGGTGCCAGGAGCAGCAATTAACAGAGCTAGTTTAGGGCTGGGAAGATAGCCCAGCGGCCTAAGTTCCTGCCTGGCGAGCACAAAGGTCTGAGTTCGATCCCCAGTACCCTATCACCCAGGGTGCTGTACTCGGCGTGCCACCTGGATGCTCTCTTCCTCCTTTGCTAACGTGGGCCCGAGGCCCGTGTTTCCGGCTCCCTTTCAGCAGCACCCTCCGCCAGAGCCCTGTTCTCTCTGTTCTTCACCCCGCAGGGACCAGAGTATGCATCTTTCTGAAGACCATCTACCTTTTTTTTTTTAATTTTAGAGAAGGCTTTACATGGTGTTCAGGGTCTCATTACTAGATCAGACTCAGTGATCCGCCTGTTTACAGCCTCCCAAGAGCTGGGATCACAGGCGCGCCATCATGCCCGGTCTCAATTGCTTCTCAGTACGAGTGGGGGGACCTGGCACTGCAGGCCCAGGGATCGAACCCCTGGCTTCTGCACCTGCTTGCAGGCACGTTAATCCACTGAGCGATTTGGCCGGCCCTTGTTTGTTTGTTTAATTTATGGATACTGGTGACCCAGGGTGTTCAAACTGAGCTACATCCACCATCCTTTTTGTTTTATTTTTTATTTTGAGAAAGGGTCTTGTTAAATTGCTGCATTGGCCAGGGAGATGGCTCAGTGGAATAAGCGCTTCCCTGGCAAGCATAAGGGCCTGAGTTCAATCCCTGGTTCCGCAAAAAGAAAAAAAAAAAAATTGCTACATTGCCTTGAACTTGGGATCTTCCTGCCTCACTGTTCCATAGTGCTGGAGCAGGAAGCCTTTTTGTTTGTTTTTAAATTTTTATTATATTTTTTGGTATGGGAATCAAACTCAGAATCTTACCCTTGCCAGGTAGGCACTTAGGCCACTAAATTACATTCCCTGCCCTTAATTTTTATTTTATTTATTGATTTATTTTTCTGGTACCAGGGATCAAACTCGGGAACTTGAGCATGGTAGGCACGCACTTAAGCTGCTGAGCTATCTCCCTGGCTCTTAATTTTTATTTAAAAAAAAAATTTCCACAGAAGAGGGCTGGGCAGATAGCTCAGTAGAATAAGCATTTGCCTGGCAAGCACAAGGTCCTGCGTTCAATCCCCAGTATTGCAAAATTAATTAATTAATTAATAAAAAATTCCAAACAAGATAACATGAGGGTAACAATAGTCAATACACTGTATATTGTTGTCTTTAGTTACTCAGAGTACAAGATACAATCATCTAATCCCTGGTTCCGCAAAAAAAAAAAAAGATACAATCGTTTAATTGGCCAAACAACATTAGCAGAAACCTTTCTTTTCTTTTCAATGATCTAAGAGAAATTAGTCCTCTAGGGGCTTGGGAGATAGCGCAGCAGTCTCAGTACCTGCCTGGCAAGCACAAGGACCTGAGTTTGATCCTCAGTACTCCATGCCAAGTTGGCCCTGGATGTGCTGTGCCAGCTCTGAAGCCAGGCGTGGTGGCACATGCCC